TACTTTGATTTTGAGCTCAAGAACCCAGAAGAAGAAATCCCCTCCATCGATCCCACACGTTGGGGGTTTGGAACCATGCAACCAACCAGGGATGTTCAGTTTAAATACAGGTTAAGATTTTGAATCAAGTTCAGGATGAGTTTGTGAGTGTTATGTGTGCATTTTGTTCCTGTTTATCCTCATGCAGGTTCAGAATAACTCTTATAAATTATGTTGAAATCTTTTAAAACAAAATCAAAATCTGAAAATCAAATCTATTTTTCTGTTTTGTTAATCTCCATTATTAAATATATGGTATATAAGTATAGTTAAAATTATGTAGTTAATCTTATGATATTCAATGCTTTGAGTCTTTAAAAAGTGCTAATCAAAACAATCACATCAGTTGTGCATTAAATTAATTAAAATAAGTAAAATTAATCTATTTAAAAATACATACTGGAAAGTTGTTGTTTTGCAGCTCATAACATACCTCACCATTTGTAACTTCTTAATTCAACTGGTCAAAACAAAGCAATGAAAGAGATATTTAGTATTTTAGTTATCTAGATAAGTCAAATGATCTTTTTTAAAATGAAAAACTGTAGAATTTCATTTTTAAGCATGCAATTGGTGTAATTTCCTTAAAATTACTTTTCTCAGAGGTAAAATGGCAGTTTTAGCACTACTCTATACTATCTTCACACATTTTCTAGAATCCCACATTGAAAAAAATATGAAACATCTGCTTTTCACCAGCTTTAAGATTCAATCCCATAGCCTTCTTCAAGGTTTCTGTAGTGACACGAATAAAATAACGAATTCTGTCGTTATTTTTACATGCTCGAGCCTACACTGTTTCCCAATAATGCTGGAGAAATTGTCATTTAAATATTTGTATTTGTTTAATACACATTAAGGTGATACTATCCTGTTTTCTACTTCTACTTCTCTTTTAATCAACTTTTAACTCAACAGGCAGAAAGGGTATTTTTCAAACTGTAAATAAGAAATTTCAATGCAGATTAAAGAGTTTCAGCTGCTCTCAAAATAACTTTATTATACAGGATTTCTTTTCTTTGATTGGGGAACTTGTATCTTGTATCTGATATTAAAAAGTAACAAGGAGTTTGTTTTATTTAAATAAATGCGCAGTAATTCTGGAATCTGCCTGGATTATGATCTTCATTTAAAATTGACTCAACATTTCCATCTGCTGGTTACCCTGGAAACAGATTCAATGTGGCAGCTTTTTTATCTGAAAAGAGGAATGACGTTCAGTTATCTGAATTCTTTGTGGACATATTCTGTATACAATATTGCTGTTATTTACATTTGGTACTGTAAGTTCTTACTGAACAACCTTTTCATGTTCTCATCGTTTTATGCAAACCAATTCTTCAACTGTTATACTCTTTGCATCTTCACGTTTTTACCATATACAGTATGTATATATACTTGCAGTATATCTATGGTAAAAACAATTGTCTGTAAAAAAAATTCAAAGAGGAAAACAAATGATTTCAAGTCGTGGGTGGGGTCTTTAGGATCGCAGCCCAGAAATAATCTTGATAATTACATCCAGCAATCAAATTACACCATCAACAATCAAGTTAACAACACAGACCACAATCCCTATCCAAAGCTCAGAACAATACGAGGGATGGCCAGAGTTCAAAACACAAAGAACTCTGAGCTTCCAAGAGTTACAGACACACTGTAACAAAACTGTCCAACACATTTGCAACTATTAAAATATTAAAACTATAACCTTAAACAATTAGGTTAATTATTTAACTAACAATTAAAACTATGAACATCAAAAACCATTACTTAAATATAAATTAATGAGAAATGATTGTAGAAATATATGCTCTTGACATGCTTACATATAGCTACATCAAAACAAATGTAAAATATTTGAATGAGAACTGTTTTAGAAAAAAGCCTTTGTCTGCATTCAATAGGTCATCTCTTAGTCCAGAATTTTGTTATAAAGGGAGTATTCCATGCAGATGACAAGACAGTCTTTCTTGCTCAGTTCTTTTCTATCTGCTCATGTCACACAAACGGTTTGTCTTGCACTACCTAGTCAGCATCCCAAGCATTTTTTATCTTTAAAAACCAAGTGTATCTGAGAGGTTTGCCTTATGCATTAATCAATACATGCTTATGCCTTACTTGGAGAAGAAAAACATCATGTGGAATGGATGCAAATTT